TCCACCATTGTATATCTGCGCGTGCTTGCTTGTTTAATCTTGTGTGATAGTTTCTGCTTTTAATTGAACACATCAGGTTGATTATGCGCCGGAGGAATGTACGGCCTCCACGTATCACCTTTGCCGCCCAGTTCAATTTCCCTATCAATTTTTGCAGCTCAAGCTTTGTAGCAGATTTTTTATTAATCCATTTTGTCAATAGCATATGAAGGTTAGATACTTTCTCAGATGGTAAGCTTAGTGTACGTTGTTTACTGTTAATCTGCACTCCCAAATAAGTAAGTTCCTGGCATGGTCGGACTACTTTTTCCCAACTTATACTGAAACCAAGATTTTGGAGTAAGTTAATCAATTCAGTGTATCCTTTTCCACACTCCTCTTTGGAGTTACCAGTCACTAAGAAATCATCTAAGTAAGATATAACAGAAAAACCCCTGCGTTTCATCATCCTTGTCACAGAGTTTGATAACTTAGTGAATATATATGGAGCTTTTGAACTTCCAAACATCATACGAGTATCAACTAAATATGTTGGTTCTTTATGACCTGAGAAAGTCCACTGTAGACCTGAAATATCATAGCACGAGTCGTGAATGCTTACACTTCTATATGCTGCCCGAAGGTCTACCTTCGCAATGTATCCATTCACTGGTATTAATTTTAATGCACTATCAATGGTTTCATAAACAAATGGATCATGAGAAACATAACTATTCATGCTAAAATTCTCCGGCCGACTCCCATCATGAATTAATCTCACTGAACTTCCATCATTTTTTAATATTGCTCCAAGTGCACTAACTATTTTTGGCTTGCTAGACACACAGACATAAGCGCCATCCTTTATTTCACGTAAAATTTGTTTTTCTACTAGATCTTTGTATTGCTCCACCGATTTGTTATTGCGCACAAAAACATCCTTCACTGTTGAGAAATCATCAATTATTTTAAATCCATCCCTTATGCCCTGTAATATGTATTCGCGATCAATATCATTCCGAAGTTCTTGTTCCCATACATCTAGTTTACTGCTGAGTGGGCCGGTTACGAAAACGAGGCGGAACGTCCGTGTTTGTATTCCTTTGGGGTGGATTATCTTGGGATTCCACTACCCCGGGTGTTGAGACTTGAGCAGCATGCTGACTCTCGGGGTGATTCCCATTACATGTTGCACAAGTATGACTATACTTGCACCTAGGACCATATGTGCAGACTTTCTTGTTGTAATCATTACACTTTTGTTGCCATTTGCTCCAACCTGCTTTCACACGTGATGGTTCTTGAATGGATACGAGGTAATGATCTTTGAAATGTTTGTTAACATCACTCCATGCGACATTTTCTTCCGCTACGTATCTACGGTGGACGTCATCCAAGATCATGACCGAGCTAACAGTATATTGTTGTAAATAATCTCCAACCTTTGTTGTATATTCAATATAGTCCATCAATGTTTCATATGATATTCCATCTTTTAACAGTTTTTTCATAATTCGGCCATTAGCAGCTGTCCACTGTGCCACTGTCACTTTCTCGACAGAGATCTTAGGGTTTTTTGATGGCTGCCATGCGAGTACAACAGAACCAGCTTTGAATAATGGCACTTCAGGCTCCGCACGGTATGATTTGGTCACGAAATCAGGAATCAATAAAGGCTTACCCTTTCTCTTTCATGCCAACATCACGTGCACCAGCGCCAGAGTTGTCATTCTGGGCCAATGTCTCCGGTCTTTCAAACATATTGGAGATGAGATCGTTCAACTGGCTGTCTTTTTGCAAGTCCTTCATTGTAGTTTTAGTCGAAGGTCCTTTTGTAAATGCCTTTTCCTCATCGGCCTCGGATAGCTTGTGATTATCAGTTTTTAATTGTTTTATCTCTTTTTCTAGTAATTATAGTTCTCTTTGTTCTAGTAAGGCATCTCTTTCTTTGGTGAGGTCTAATTTCTTTTGAGTTTGACCTTTTTCTATTTCTGATTCCGATTCTAAATCCCATTTTGGCAATTTTTCAACGTCCTTTTGCCTATTTTTCCTTGTTTTCTTGGTGCTACCTCCCATCTTTATCTGGTATATATAGAATTGTCAATCAATGTGTACAAAATGTTCAATTTTTGGGATTGTAAGCACAATTTCAGCAATTTCTGCTAAACTTAAAAACTATGGCTGCTGTGCACATGGCTTAAACATTAACAAATCAGCAGACAGCATGCCCCTTACATCAATGAACAATAACAAATATCCTATTTAAAATCAAATAAAACTTGCAGTCTTATTTTTATATATAATTTCATTGGACAGCTTACTATATGGATGTATCCTTCTCGATAACAGGATGCTAGATGTAGCAGTGTATCAGAATCTCTTTCAATCTCTTTTCATTCAAATTAATCCACTAGAACCATATACATATTATCGGTAACTTTACATATGCTCTTACTGTCACCATTTCATCCAGATATCCATATTCTGAACGATAGTACATAATTCCTATGTATCTTTGGCATACAGCTTTAGATGCTCGAGTCTATTGTTTTTGTTGTGTCATTGCCGAGCTAGTCTTTTGGAATATGTACTGCATATCCAGGATTGCCAAGATTGCCATGTACATGTACGTAATGGGAATAAAACTTGTTTTCAGAGGTTGAGATGATTCGTCAGTTGAGAAATCCTGAAATGGTAAAATGTATATTCCGTATATAATTTCAAAGGAAATGTTTTTGTTTTTTTACAGAATTCAAATTTATTTCTAATAATCAATACAATAGAATACATATGAGCAACTTGCCATTGTTGATAAGTCAACACTATCGGCCATTGGAACAATGTTAATAAAATAAAAATTTATATTAAGAAATACACAAAGGAAATTGTATAAGAGATGTATAAGTCAAATGATCTATAAAAACTCCACAGTATTTACCTTTCTATATGATATTCATGTTCTTATAAAAAATTAGTGAAAAGTTTATATCTAGTCTTTTGGATACAAACCTTGTGATACAAACAACTGTGCTTACATGTAGGCCTATTCATACTGAATACTGTACACTGATGAACTGGCAAGCTTGGTGCGGAAAGTCACTTTCATCTGCTGATTTTCCAGTAGGTAATTTTCAAACTGCATAGCCAGGATTGCCAAGTTTTCAGAGGGCGAGATGATGCATTGTTGGAGAAATCCTGGAATTGAAAAATGAATGTTCATATTATACACCATTCTACATAATGGTAATATCAGATCATATTAATGAATTTGATAATTATCAAAACTATAGTGTATAGGAATAATTTCATTTTTATTAAAACTATCGCTTTTATTGCTATATGTTAGAAAACTTCAGGACTGATCTGAATTAGTTTTTCTGATTATATCAGATAATATTGATGATAGTGCTAATTTTGATAAATATCAAAATCATCAATAATATCTGATAATGTTAATTTCATATGTGCCCTGTAGGTTATTCCATACTCCAAATTTATCAATAATTGATGATTATCAAATTTATTGACTAATTTATCACTACTAGAATTTATAGCTATTGATAAAAGTGAGTTTCTGCACCTAAATGGAACTGCCTGTATATTGGTATGAGTAATGTATATTTTGAAAAAAGTAAATGTCACACTCCGATGACTGATATGAACTTAAGAATAAAAACAAGTCTTGCATAAACCCCTGGTCTTTTCCCAATCAGTCATTTTTAAATTGACCAATATGTAGACCAATATTTCCATACAGTGTCAAGGGATCAAAGGAAGAGACTGAAATATTGTTATGCAATTAATTCAATATGGGATAATCATATATCTCGTATTAATATTTTATTGTATTTTATTTATCAATTTACCTCAGTGTAAAGCTGCTTGTGTCTGCTTGAGACCCGGGCTTGAGATTGGATTTTCAGCAAAAATCAAACAAATTGTTCCATCAAACTAGTCGTCGTTATCGTCCATAAATAAATCAGGCATCTGTCAGATGTACTTGGGACGGCTTATTGATAGTAAGTATCGATCTAGCAACTCAAATACGGCAAGATTCATCGTTAAATAGACAGAACAACGACGTAATGTACAGAAAACTGAAATTTCACGTTGACCGGAAATTGTTGAAAATCTCTACCGGATTACGTTACAAGCGACGTCCTATTGGTCAATTCACATTGGCGCTAACGTAGCCATCTTTAAAACTCCAAATTTTGTCAATAGTCAAATGCGGTAAGTAATTATTAAAAATTAGGGCTATAAATCGAAAATGTGCTCGCATAAAATCATTTTCTGGTATCTCTAGTATTGCCTCGAACGCTTTTTTCGTCAATTCGTGCTAAATTGAAGATTTGTTTGTATGAATGCGGGAAACAAAAAATTCATCGAAATTAACAGTTTTCCAGCGTTCATTTCTTTATTAATGATCCGATTTTAACGATCATACTCATTTTTGTGGGGAAGGATATGCTTAATCTCTATGGAAAATATCAAGTCAATCCATGCGCTAGATCAAAAGATCCTGCGAGCGAAGTGCATTTTACACTTACTCTGTTACGTGCAGACGCCGGGGGTCATTTCCAAAAATTTCTAGCTTGTTATATAAAACTTAATGAACTTGTTTATATGATCGAATATGAATATTTATTGATCAGTGGCAATAAAATAAGACCCCAAAGTACAAAAACCTGAATAACTAATCACAGACCTCTAGTACTTCTGTTAGTAGAACACTTTTTCAAGTCCCAAGACCAACCGGTTTAATGTTAAATGAGCCTCTATAAGTGGAACACTCCCAAGTGATACACTTTTTAGAGGTACCAAAGGTGTTCCACTTAGACAGGTTTTACTGTATGTAAAGCAATTTGGCGCATACTAAATGCACTGAGTCCAGGGCTTAAATCCTTAGATAACATACAGTGAAACCTGTAAATGTGGAACACATCTGTAAGTAGAACACCTCCCAAGGTACCAAAGGTGTTCCACTTAGACAGGTTTTACTGTATATATGCATCCCTCACCTTTGTTTCTTCTAAGTTCTTCTGCCTGAGAAATATTGTTCCTATGGCTGTGAGACAGAGAACTGTTGCTTCAGTACTGGCCTTAACTTTGTCTTTTAGTTTGTCAAGGAATGAAGAGGCTTCATTTGGATCTATAAATACAGTGTCATAAAATTCATCAGCCCATTCATGGGTAAAAGGCAAAAAGGTAGCAATTGCCTAGCAACAGAGGCTGAAAATTACTTAACATCATATTACATTACTTAACATGAACATTTAACCCTCTAGGTATGAGGCAGGGAGGTGAGGCAATAGCCTGTGTATGTTTTTTATGGAATCAATGGCCCAATTTATATGCCAAAATGTCCTCTATCTACATATGTGCATGTATGCTTAATCATCATCGTGGGAATCTAATTTTGTTATATTTCAAGGATATTTTACAAAGACTGTTCAAAGTCAACAAGACCTATTTGAGAAATGCTTAAAAAAGTACTTGCAGTTTATTTTATTTATGGCTAGCTGTGAATTCTGACTAAATAACATTAGAATTTTAAAAAAAAATTCAAAGTCTTTCAAAAACCACTTTTGAAATTAAAAAATGTCTTTCAATCATATCTCCCTGTGTCCCTCAAAAAATATCATACCGTATATCAACAATTGTAAATTTTTGGATGATTGGGATTAAAAAATGTCTTTCAATCATATCTCCCTGTGTCCCTCAAAAAATATCATACCGTATATCAACAATTGTAAACTTTCGGATGATTGGGATTCGGACCATTGAGATTTGAATGAATGGGATTCGAACAATTGATATTCTGATGAATGGGATTTGGACCATTTGGATTCTAACCCATGGGATTCGGTCCATTGGGATTCGGACCAACATTGTGTCCCCTCTGGCCCTTCTAACACCCAATGCTGCCATCTATTCATTAATTTCTCTATATCTGCATAGCAAATGGTTATTAGGTTGTGTGTCAATCTAACCTTAGCCTAGTCTTTTGATTGCTTTTTTAGGTCTTATTGACACACCCCAATTGAAATAGACTATAGATAGTTCTTCAAACATGCAATCGAACGAAAATTAATTCTATGTATGTAGACATAATTTAAGCTGAACTTATGAGAGTTCAGCTAGACATGGATGAGAGAAAAACAAAGTACACATATACAGTAAAACCTGCGAACAGGGAATGCTCTTGGGACTGGAGGAAAGTTTCCTTGTTCAGAGGTTTTCCCTATAGAGAGGGGCCGCACTTTCAGCAAACTCAGAATTGCCGAATAAGCATTTTTTGTATATATACTTTGGGCATTAATTGATTTTTCCAATGCCGACTCCATACTCGGTTGCTAGACCTTGTTGTGAGTTGTGACATCTTGGAAGATGTATGAAGTACTCCCACCTCCCTCCTTTAGCTGAGGGTAAGGAGCATTCTCCTGATGTTGATTTTAGCCGCTGCTGCTGGCGTATGATGATGTGTAGTTGTTGTAATTATTGATAGATTTGGCTCAACATGACACATGTACTTATCTGTTATCTCCATTAACAATTGTGTCAATCCCTAGATTATCACAACTGATTAGATGTAATTAGGTTTGTTGAAAGGAAGAATAAGTGTCATGATAATTAGTAACAAACAGATTAGTATTAGTTTTAAAATATATCAGGGTAATTAACAGTGGGTGGGATGCTTCATCATGTAAACAATTGGCTTATCTTAATCTCAATCATATTAATCCAACCTTTTTAGAATCAGATATTGGCTTAAGACTTTCACACCTCTGAAAAATAATGGAATATACAGTGTCACCAATATTCCATATTCCTTGTTCACAGGTGAATTTTCATGATTTGCACCAAAATAGTGTTCCTTGTTCCCTGTTCACAGGTTTTCCCTACAGAGAGGGTCCGTTAACATGTAAGTCAATGGAAAAATATTTGGTTCTTTTGAAAAGCATTCCTTGTTCATAGGTTTTCCCTACAGAGAGGTATTCCATCGGACAGGTTTTACTGTATTGTGAAACTTCTGAGAAGTGATTTATAATCTAATACTCCTAGAATCGATGATATCACTAAAAACAATTGCAACCATCAAGAGCCGATCAAAAATATTATTCCACTATGCAAGCTAAACAGCAAACGACACAGAAAAATACCTTGCGCTGATCAATACAACTGTATTTGCCTGACACTCCGACATTTCAAATTCAACAAGCTCATGGCAGACCATATTGAAAGGTATCCCTCAGGGAAGTATTCTTGGTCCCTGTCTCTTCAATATCTTTATAAATGACATATTTCTAGCCTTGAAGAACTGTAATTTATATAACTATGCTGATGACAACACAATCTCTGTGATTGGTGAAAACAAACAATCAGTTCTTCAAGACCTGGAATCACAGTCTTCTCTTGCCATCAACTGGTTTAATCAAAATAAAATGCTGGCAAACCCTGATAAATTTCAGGCTATGGTGTTACAATGTTCAAGGATTAACTCCAATTTCCTCCCAGATACTCTAACTTTTGGCAATTCTTCAATTCAAACAGAGCAATCTGTGAAGGTCCTTGGAGTAACCCTTGACAACAAGCTCACTTTTAATGATCACATTAAAGAATTATGCATTAAGGCAGCACGTCAAATCAATGCCCTTAAACGGCTTTCAAATTTATTAGACATGAAAAGTCGCATGACAATATTTAAGGCCTTTGTCTTGTCACACTTTAATTATTGCCCGATAGTATGGCACCACTGCGGCAAGACAAATGCTCTTAAACTGGAAAAGCTCCAAGAAAGATGTCTCCGATTTGTTTACAAGGACTATGAGTCTGATTATGATACTCTTTTAGACAAATCAGGCCTGCCCACCTTAACTCTAGGTAGACAAAGGCAGATAGCAATAGAAACCTTTAAAATCATAAATAATCAGTCTCCTAGTTACCTTAACGACATGCTTCAGGAGCGTACATCTAGTTACAATTTACGTCACAAAAATACTCTAAATGTTCCATCTTTCAATACTGTAACACATGGCAGACACTCTTTTAGAGTTGATGCATGCTTTATATGGAACAATCTACCCAATGATCTCAGAAGTTGTGTATCTCTTACAGAGTTCAAAAAACTAATTAAATCATGGAACGGTGAAAACTGCAAATGTGCAATATGTAAATGTAAAATGTAAACCTTTCAGATTCTCTGTGCCACTATGTAAATGTATTTTAGTATGACATATGATTTTTTAGTATTTATCTTGTTAACACTGTTACATGTTTTAAAATTTTATTTTAAAGATTTCTATGTCTATATGTCGGTCAATAGCGCTTGCGCTAATGTTTACTGTACAAAAATTATCCGACTTGAAATAAATATTGATATGATATGATATACTTACTAAGATTGATCAACTATTATAAAAATGCCGTATAATGCAACGGAGTATATGAGACCTTCTGAGATATACTACACTCAAGATAGTATAGGAGTAAGGTTCACTGATGGGAATTTCCTAAGTGATGTTTACTACAGCATAATTGAAGGCAATCTTAATCCAAATGAGGACATTCCACCTTTGACTGTTGTCTATCATGATGGTAAACCATTTGCACTGGGATGCAGGCGTTTGTATATATACAAAAAACTTGAGGAGCTCGATGTTATTCGTAAAGTTATCGTTGAAATAAGCACCCCACAGAGAGAAAGTCATAGATTCCAAAAATTGCTGACTACACAAAATGGCGGGACTTCGATCGAGCTGAGAGGGCGTTTCAGAGAAAGACGTGCATACGTTTATCCATGGGAGTTCTACAAAAACAGATATCACTATGAAAATTGGACTAAAAGTGAGAAGTTCAAGGCTAAAAACAGAAGTAAGTAATTCCAGTAAACATACAGATGATGAATATGATATCTTACCAAATATTTTGCACATTTGAATTATCTGAGTGAGCGCCTACCAAGAGAAAAAATATCTTTCGCCGAATCTCTATTAGTCCTTGTTGAACCACTGTTTCAAATACCAACACTCAAATATCTACATATCTTGACAAATGAAAAAAAATATAATTGTCTTTTCTTGTTAAGATCAACTTTTAAGTATACTTCAGTCACAATTTCAGAGAGCTGAAAAATCTAATTCAGTGATGATGTATCATGTTTTGTTAGAGATATAAATTCAGCTCAACTATTATTTCAAGAATCAGACCACTTTTATCTTACAACAGGTTTAAAATTAAATAAAGAAAAAACAAATGCAATGTGGATTGGCTCAAATAAAAACAACATTGAAACGCCATTAAACATAACATGGCAAATAGGGGAAAATGCAAAAGTGAAAATTCTAGGAGTTGGGTTTTCAAATCAATGTTCAGCTGCACAGATTGAGGAGAACTGGTTACCAAAAATAATTAAAATGGAAACGTTGATAAAAAATTGGAGTAAACGTAATCTCACATTGAAGGGTAAAATTACTCTTGCAAAAAGTATAATAGCCTCACAAGTGACATCACTTTTAATGTCATTCAAAGCTCCAGATAAATATTTGGAAAGAATAAATAGTATCTTACATAAATTTATTTGGGGGAGTGAAAAAGGAAAAGATAGAATAAAAAGAAATGTTTTAAGACAAAGTTATGATAAGGGAGGTTTCAAAATGATAGATATTTTTGTAAGTCAGGATGCACTCTTAATGACATGGGTTAAGAGAATTGTTGCAATTGAAAATTCAAATTCAAAATGGAAAGGAATAGCGCTACATTACTTAAACAAATGGCGAAGATATTTTTAAATATAATACAAATGAGCGAAACCTTAAATCAAAAATAAAGTTAAAAGAAATTCCAGTTTTCTATGAATATTTAGTTAGTATTTGGCTTAAATATCAACATGTTAACAAGATCATAAAAAATGGGACAAGGCAAAAGAAAATGGACGATTTTGCAATATGTGCAATTTAAATCAAATTGAATCAATTGAGCATTTTCTATGCCACTGTGAATATTATCATGAAGAACGTTTGGGTTAAACAAATTTTACAATGAGCATTTTGGAATGATGAGTGATTAAGACACTATGGTAATTGCTTGTGAGAACAATTATCTTTCATTGCAAGTTTTGCCAATCATCCACGCAATGTTCCTAAAAGGGAC